ACCACTTTGCTCCGGCGCTCATCTCGGACGCGATGCCGCGCATGGCGAGCGCCGAGTCGAGCTTCAACGAGGGGTGGACGTTTGTGTGGAAGGGCTTCCTCACCACGCTCGGCACCTCCATCCTCCAGCCGCTGCGCACGCTGCGTGAGAAGCCGACGCCCAACTACGACGTCAACGTGACGCCCGTGCCGGCCGCGGTCTCGAAGCGCACGCTGTGGTTGTCGGTGCTGCCCTCGCTGCTCGTGCTCCTCTACCCGCTGCTCGTGTGGCTCCCGCAGGCTCCGCTGCTCGGGCTGTGGCTGCTCGTGTGGCCGTGGGTCGGGATGAGCCTCATCTTCACGACGATGACGCAGGTGAGCCACGTGCAGCAGAGCTGCCAACCCACGCAGGCCCAGAGCGGCTGCTGGACTGCGCGGCAAATCCACGCGTCGCTCGATTACTCGCTCGGCGCGGCGACGCCCATGCCGGAGCAGCAGCTCGTCACCGCGCTCGCCGCCGGCCTCAACGCGCAGTCGCTCCACCACGCGATGCCCACGCTGAGTTGCGCGCACTTCCCGCGCGTGTACGCAGAGTACCGCCAGATCTGTGAGCGGCACGGCGTCACCATCCGCCACTCGGAGAACGTCGGCACGGCGGTGCGCGAGATGCTCGAGTACGTCTTCGAGAACAATCGGCCGGTGGGCGGGGCCTGACCGTGTCAAAGCCTCAGAGCCGTGTGTGTGTTTGCACCTTGAGCAGCCGATTAAATATAAATAGCGCGCACGCAAGAGGGTGTCTCCCTGCACTCGCTCGGTGCACCAAGCTCACACAAGGCGCAGAAGACGGACTCCGACTCGTACGACCGGCTGAGGTGTCGTCTGCGTGTGCTTCGCACGACACTACCACCAAAGCTCGCCGAAGAGTTTCTCGAGGTCTCACAGCAGCTGCTGCTCCCTTTCTGCTTGCTGTCACGAAGGAGAGCAGACAGCCGGTTGCCTGCCACTGCGACTCGCATACGACCGCCCGACAGACCTCGTTGCTGGCGCACAAGGCCCACTTCATCTTCCGTACGGGCACATGTTCATTCCAAACTGCATCGACGACTCGTCTCCGCTGCCGCGAGACCAGTTGCCTGCATTCCGACCGAGTGGCCGCTGCAGCTTTCGCCCTGGCAGTTCTACCTGGGAAGGCAGTACATCTCGTCGATCTACGAGGTGTAACCACTTCGCTCGCCATCGCTCACTCCCTCTCAGACGAAACCTGCTCTCTCCCCCCCATCCCTCCTCTTCTCGCTTCCCTCCCCTCTGGCGTGCAGGTGAATGACGTGAGGCGAGACACTCTCATCTCCAGTGCGCTGCCGCAGGCGAGTTGCAATGTGCGACCGGTGCTGGCCCCCTTGGCGGCCTTCCTGGTCAGTGGTGAGGCGCAGTTCAGAGCTGTCGATGGCGCGATGCCGCACTGGTCCCACATTGGTAACACGAGACCACCACGTTTGCCGGTCCAAGAGAGAGGCACCGGCGCTGTCCGGAGAAGGTGCGTGGTCCCTCTTGACTGCCCATGCGCGCGAGGCTGTGTAGGCATAGCCTCGAGAGTGCCAGCAGCCAATCCGAGGCAGTTTGTGACGCGCATTGCGTCAGAAGCGTGCACGCAGCTGGAAGGACACCTTCCTACTGGCCGTACGATCAGGTCGTCACTGAATGCTTGATACTAAGGCCGCGAGCTGTGCAGGTGATCAATTGTGCATCATGGTACGGTCAGCAGCGCCGACAGGCTGTCGCAAGGCGTGATAGCATGGCCTGAGAAGGAACGCTCAGGTTGCACATATGTCATATCCCACACATCGTGTGGTGTGGTCACGCTCACGGAGAGCGAGGTGAGTGTGTATGTACACACCACTTACTGACGTATAATCGACTCGCAGACCTCCCGCGGCGGTCACAGAGACGCTCTGGTAGGACTCCCGCCCACGATCTGCATCTCTCCTCTCTGCGGCTGCGCCGAATCAAACGCGCACCCCGCACCTTGAGTTCCGGTTGTTCCCCCGCGGCACCCCCCGCGCCCCGCCGCACGTACTGTATCTCTCGCAGGGGCCAATGCGCATGCATCTCCCGAGTCCTTCCTCCTCCGCATCCACGCCCCTCCTTTACACAGGATGCCCCTCCTTTACACAGGATGTCGGCTCCGCTACAGCATGTCGAGCGCGCCAC